AAGAGTGTGTGAGGGATTGCTATTATCCCAAGTTTGAGTTTTGTAGCAAATATGGATCAGGTGTGCCTGAAGCCATACTTTCAGGCTTTTCAGATTGGTAAATCAGTCTTAAAGGTAGTCTTACCAGGTAGCATAGACAGTGTAGTATCAATTTCAGGTTTCTTTCAGAGCCAGTTCTACACACAATAAACATCTCACTCAGTACCTTGTTTTCATTGAAATTAGCGATGACAACTCCAACAAAAAGAGTCAGTCCAATCATGCAGCCAAGGAACACAAAAACATGAATGTAGATTCCATGGATCTGAATAGAAAAAAATAAGATTAACTGTTAAACCAAACCAAAGTATGTGTTGTAGAATTCAAAGACTTTAATGTGTCTCCTTACCGGCCCAACGCGATGAATAATAACATCTCTGACTTCCACCCAGCCTTTTAATGAAAGAACTTCGAATAGTGCCAGCATCGCGTTCCCTACATTGTCAAAATTAAAGTTCCGAGGATTTGCCCTGAAATGCAGCACACAAATAGGTGTAATTTCAGCAGTAAAGTTGTTTCTATTTATTACCTTGATTCTTCATAGTCTAACTAACATTTAAATACCTTACAAAGTTGCTGTGAAAGCCTATGAAATATATCATTCAAAGTTCTGTCTCAGGAATAACAAAGCAATAGCAACAGCAATAAATATGTACAGCACATTTTTTCTTGATTTATATGTATGTTTTATTTTGTTACTCATAATGTGATTCGCAGTAATGAAGCTTATAACATGTTCCTGTTTTTTGGTATTTTTTCAATAAAATTAACATGCATTCATGAAAAAATGGATTTGATGGCATTGGCCAGATTCTATAACAAATTTACCTGAAGGGGACCAGTCTCAAAACCACATAAATGATTCAGACTCCTGAGTCACCAAGATATTTTAAAAAATGCTGTTCCTTATTTCATTACCAATGGGAACTGATAGTCTAAAGCAAAACTTACTGAGAGGCAATCACATCTTCTTGGCTTTCCTATAACATATGCTCTGACCCTTCGCATCAGCTGCGATTCAGGAGGATGCTTCCAACTGAACATTAAAAGTACCCTTTTTGGGCTAGGTTGCTCTCCTTCTACAATCCAAAACATAATCCAAGGAGCCCAGCTGATTTTCAACAATTTCTAAGGTAAACAGTTGTATTCTAGAAGAATTGCTGAGTGTTTGGTTCTTCTGAAAATCCAATCAATCAGTGAAAGAGAGCTCTCAGATGTAGATTATTTCTTTTAAATGTGGTCCTTATGCTGACATCTGGTTCTTGAAAATCTGGCCTGATACAGCCAACAGGTGGTATAAGTGTCCTTGCAGTAAAACATTTTTCTGCAATAACAAAACATTCCCCAAAGTTTACAGTTATGCTGATTAGGACAGTTTTTGCTTATTTCTGGAGTATTGAATTTGCTTACTTGAGGAAGAATTTCTCTGAAGCACACAGAAACAAAGACTTCTGCAGATGTCAGAGTTTCACTGACTGTTCAAATCACAGTATATAATTTCATTAGTATAGGATGGTTCTGAATCTAACACTGCTGGTACATCCTTTATCCATGCACATAGTCAATTAAAATAATTGTGGCTGTTTAGCTGATTTTGCAAAATGCCAACCAAGATAAAAAGATAAACAATTAAAGAGAGGGATTTTTTGCCTGTTCAGGTGTTGGGAATATTAAATAGACTTTATCAGAATATTAATCATGAACAGAATGTTAACTCTTAAGTAATTTTTTTTACTGCACTACTGCAACAGACAGACCACAAGGATTCTCTGGACTGGAAACAGAAAGAAGCTGCTAGCTGGCCTGGTTGATGGTCATAAAAGAGAAAGGCTGGTTTTAGGTATGACGTGCTCATCAGATTTTTATGGGTAGCTGCAGGTTGATTTCCATTTCTTTTTTTTCCTATTTATTCTTAGTTTCTGGTGTTGAGGTGCAGCTCTCAGTACGCCTTCATAACAGTACTAAAGCACAACTAAGTAATCTTGGTTCAAACCAGTAACTCCCACTGTAATAATAATCACATCTAATTCCTATCTAGATTCAGTACTTATGGGTGTTTTTTTCCTTTCTGCTTTCTGAATAGAACAGCAGGTTAAGACTGGAAAAGTGTAATCTATCTGGCTTTTCACTAAATATACCAGAACTTTTACCCTTAATATCATCTGACTTACAATAAAAACCCTCTGTCAGTAGTTTAATGCCATGAGATTTGAGTCATATTCTACACCAATAGCTGAGTTTTTGAAGAAAGATAGGCCAACGTGTAGCAACTTACCAGACTCGTGGCACCCAAAATCCAGGCTTCTTCTCTCCAGGTCTTAGCTTTAAATTGAGATTTTTGGAAACACTTACATTTATTCTGAAGATGCCATGACAATCTTCCTACAGTGAAATAAACCACAGCCTGAGATTAAATAATGACCTGTGAGAGACGCCAAAATACCAGTATAGACAGCATGCTTGCCATGATGGGGAACCAATGTAAACAGAAATGAAGGGTTATTTACGGGTCTCTGATTAATTGTCATGGACCTTTAGCCAAAGGAAAAATGCATCTTAGGAAGGATTCAAAAAACTCTTCTCCTTCCAAGACGGAGAGCACTTTTCATTTTGCAAGACTATATAGCCTTTCACCTCTTTCCTACAGACCACTGCTCTCTTTAGGTGATGATGACATTTCTCCAAATGGAGCAAGAAACATAATCAACTTCCTTCTCGTAACCTAGACAGCACTCCCAGTGTTTTGGACCTCTAGCAGCCTAACCTGTTTTTTAGCTGCTCACCTAGGAATGCAAAGGTGTCATATTCCATGGTTAAATCCATGTGACATCCAGTCTTTTGCAGATAATTCAGCATGAATTTGACAGCTTTTCCAGATAGTCCTAGAAGTTTGGACTTGCTTTACTTTTTTACATGAAAACCCAGCCTTACCCTCATTCCCTTAGTCCTTTATCACCGTTCCCTCCATTGTCCTGCTTCTGAACAAGAAAGTGCCCAAGATCTCTCATCTGATAGCTCTTATTGCCTCATTTGCTTTTCCCAGCAGGCAGAAATGGCACAGTATACTATTAGTCTGAAGAAGGAAAGCAATTCTTACCCTAGAGATGATGTGTGGATCATTGCATTTAGCCAGTTTTCCAGCAAACAGCTGCACTCCAAAGCTTGCGAAAACAAGCATTAATGTCAGCAAAAGAATAGAAACCTGTAAAGATGAAGTTAGACTTGTCAAGCTCTCCTCTTTCAACTTGAAAAAGGAGGTGAGATCCTTCAGTGAACTGCAGAAAGGATTGTTTTGTTGCATATACCTGGAGATAAGGCTTTCACAAGCAACATATTACTTTAGGTTCTCATCCAGTAACCAGGTGCCGTGTTACTATTAAAATCATTATTATTAACATAGCATCTAAAATTATGTAGATAATGATCAAATCTTTTTTGCAGTCTGTGTACAACCTTGCTAAATTCTGGATGCAGAAGAACTGCCATTAATTTTAAAGAGAACTCTTCAAGTACTTAAATATGTGCTGCTTCTGTTTTGCTGAATCAAGCTTTACTATTTCATCTGAGTAAGCCATTGTTAGCTATTTAAATCCAGCATAGCTGCAATAAAGATATGCATGAGCAAATATGATGTAAATATTTTTAATAGGATACAGTAGCTATGAAATGCTAACTAGCTCTATACTTTTTTTCCTTGTTCTATTACTGCTTGCAAATATTTTGTAGCTTAGCTTTTTATAACAACCTAACCTAATACAATATTCTGTTCAGGAATAAAATGTTTGTTCTTTAGGCTGACACATATCACTTAGGGAAAGCTGGGTTCCAAGACAATAGAAAAGGTTCTGATCAAGCAAACATAGACTCCATTGTTGTTGTTTTTATTATTAATTTTTATTATTAATATAACTGCATAATCAGTTACAGTAATATAATCATAATGTTTATTATCATAATAATAAAAACAATGTCATAACTATGAGATTTAGATCTGTGAGCAATAACTGCATTGTCTCTGGTTGCCTCTCAAAAAACTTAAGAGGTAAAGACCTTCAGCTTGGAAACCAGGTTTACTTTTGTTCTTCCAGAGCTGCCATACCTCATCGTCCTTCCTCAACTAGAACTGTGAATAAGGGGTAGATTTTATTTCAGTAGTCCTCCTATGTAATTATAGCCAAATATATACTGAATGAATAATATAATTTATAAAAGAATTATTACAGCATCTTTGTTCAGTATAAATGTAAATGAATTACTCATATTATTAATTTTAACCTGTTCTGAGGTCATCTACAGTGGTAGCTACAGTGAAAAGTAAACAGACAACAATGGAGAAAAGAATAGAAAACATAAACATTATAGCAAAAACAGTATCTTATTACTCCTCCATATTTTCTTTTTAACAACAAGAACAAAATAACATACCAAAAAGATTTCCTTAAAGCCACTAAAAAGCTCTCGCACCACTTTCCTCATCTGAGGGACCAGTTTGAAAATTCGAAGCGGTCGGAGGCAGCGGAGTACCATTAAGAGCTGAGCTCCAGATTTGGCAGGGACATTCTGAGGCATCCAGCACAGAAATATCAAGCTTACCTTGAGGAGACAGAGCAGAAAAAGGCAAAGAAGGATTAGGCTTGGCATAGACACAGCACAGAAGATGTGTTATATAAATAAATAAACACTCTCTTCCTTAAAATTAAAGTTAAGATTAAGGCAAAAAAACCCGCCTAATTTAGAAAAGGACTTGGATCTCCTATGCCCTGGCTGATTGTCCTAACTAAAGGGCATAAGCTTGAGCCTCTGTCTTCCCCTTCGATTCAAAAATCTATTTTATTATTTTCAGCAGATGGAACAGTTCCAAAAGAAGAAATCAAATTGGCAGATTCAGAGCAGGGACACGAACTATATTTTTGGAGCAGGCAGCATCATCTCTCTCCCCATTTCTCATTTCAAACAGAGATTCAATCCTGAAACTGAGATATCCTCACCTGGAAAGTCTGTTAACAATTTCCTCTCCAGTTTTTCCTACCACTTTATTACAGGCCTAAGTAATTTTTTTATCGTGTGGTTTTATCACATTAATATTATACATTTGAAAGTGTTTTCAAGCAACATAGCTGTGTCTTGCAGCCTGAATCACAGAATCACAGAATCACAGAATATTAGGGGTTGGAAGGGATCTCAAGAGATCATCTAGTCCAATCCCCCTGCTGGAGCAGGAACCTAAATGAGATCACACAGGAAGGCGTCCAGGCGGGTCTTGAATGTCTCCAGAGCAGGAGACTCCACAACCTCCCTGGGCAGCCTGTTCCAGTGCTCCGTCACCCTCACTGTAAAGAAGTTTCTTCTCAAGTTTAAGCTGAACAATCTCTGACAGGTGGTTATTGACTATAAAGTCTGTTAATTACTTCTTATTTCTTAAAAAGTATTTATAAAGCCAATGTTATTATAGGGGGACAGAGGTGAGAGTGTTATAAAGAGGTAAGTGCACAAAAAAGGGAGGATCAAGCTGGTATCACCAATATGATTTAAAACATAATATTATTTGTTTAAAACAACAGTGGTAAAAGACAGCCACCTCACCAAGCCAGAAAGTTTTCCCAGTGTTTTTAATTTCCTTTATATTGTTTTAAGACCACCACAGGCACATTTGGAATATTCAAGCTACACTACCTAAATTTATCTTCAGACAAGCAGAGGTATTCAGAGGGATTTCAAGAATCTAATGCACACACAGATTATGCATACTACAGTAGGAGTTTTGTATAAGTATGCATATTTTTATTTACACTAACAGTGGAATCCTTGATACAAATTGATCATGACAAATTTTATGCATCACATCTGTCTGGTGGATTAATCTCTGAAAGATTTAATCTAAATCCATCAAAGTAATTTTGCTTAGTAACTTCTTCAGTTAGAAAATATTTCATACTGTATTATACTGAGAACTGGTTTGAACATATTTTGTGGTATTTATTGCCATATATGAAGAGGAAACAGACCCCTTTCTCCTGTATTTGAATGGAATGCAAGAAATTTCTGGGGGACAAAGAAAAAAGTAGAACAATTTTTTCCTGAGAACCTGCTTTCTTTCTGCTACAGCAACACCAGCAACAAGGATGTGCCCATCTGTCAAATGGTACAGGCTTTTGAAACACCTTCTATAAAGCAGAACTGTTGAGAGCGGAGCAAGTAATTAATGGCTAAGAAAAAGATAAAATAAAGATTCTCCTGCATAAAAATGCTGAAGCGGGGTCAGAGATCTCAGGCTTATTTTGGCATGAAATCAGGTCTGATACTTAAAACATATCAACAAATAAACAACTAAAAGGCATCATACAATAGTCCTACACTAAATTTTCAGGTGCTTATTACATGTCAATGTCTAAACAAATATAACTGACAGGACTGCACATGAAAACAGTGGTGTTTGTACACAAATTACACTACTGCATTTGCACCAGGGTTTTTAACATTACCAAACGTTTATATATCCAAAGAGATCAAAGTTAAGAATGCTACAGAAATCTCCCATAAACATAAAAACTTACAAGATATATAAATATGTCCATAACTCCTCCAAAGTCCCTAATGACAGCTGTTGGTGTAAAAAACAAGCCATCTGCCATAATCTTCAGATTGAGCTCAATGCTCATGAATATTACAAAAACATATTCAGCAATCTGAAAATCAAAGCAGAGAACAGTTATAATTTAGGAATAGGCAGTGGAGAAAAACGAGGTGGCTGTGCTCCATTAAATGTAAAATGATTCAGTGACAGTACCTGGAGTGTTGGAGCATGCATAACTCTTCTAAAGGGGGATTCGAACATCATGGAAATGCAGGAGCATATAGTAACAATGATCATGACCCAGTCCAGGTAAGTAACCAAACCCAGCAAGTCACTGTGAACAATACATAAGGATAAACATTACAGAAATGCCAAGAGTGCTGTATCACTTGTATTGGGTCTACACCACAGTTAAGTGCTTTCCTATGAAAAATAAATTAAGCTGCGGAGTGTCAAAGATTTCAATATTTCAGAAATGCATAGTAAATATAGGGAAGCTACATGCAAGTGAAGAAGACAAGTCTGATAGAAAAACTCCCTCCTTCTATTCATCCTCCTCCCCAAAGAACTCCATAGAAAGAAAAAGCTTTTTGGGGAAAAAAAAAAGAAATACACATGTGCATGCACACATACACACATACATGCATGTGTGTGCTCACATACTTATACTGCAGGCTTATGTGATCAAGCAAAGTTACTTTTGCAGTGCTTACTAAAGCTGATGGTATTTGGTATTTTTCACAGCTCCAGTAACAGGATCTGTTTTAGAACTATAAAAAGAAGAAAAGATACAGTCATTTACATTTTATTTTAGTCAGCATTATAATTATACCATGCATCCATCACCTCAAAGTAATTTATATCCAAAATCAAGGTTATATTTTATCTTGGCTTAATTTTAAATGTTTGTACAAGTTTCATTTAATTTTAGTCATATCACCACAGCTAGTAACACTTTAATTCATGGTCCATCTGTAATTCATCTAATGATGCTTTAAACAGTTTTGTTGGGTCTTGCTTTTGTAAGCAAGGACTTGAATTTTGTATTTTGCTTGGACCTGAGGCCAGGGATAACTTCGTACTGAATTTTATGTTTTAAAGTGCTTCCTAGAAGCTCTTTCCTTTTACTACAAAAGCTCTTGGACCATATCCTTAATTGACACACAAAAAAATCCTTCCACAAGCACTATTTGTTTTATTACTTCTTCAATAATTTTCTGCTGAATAGTTCTAGATTATTCATATATGAATTTTCCTATGAAATTTCTGGGCTTCACCTACCATATCCAAACACTCATTAGGCAGCCAGAGAGGGTAACAAAGACTCTACAAGTAATAAGCACATATCTAGGTGACATGAGTTAAGTTCTTGCTTCAGTAATTATTTAGCTTTTTTTATGCAAAGCAGAATGGCTTCAGCAGAAGCTACAAGAATCTTATCCAAGAAGCCTCTCCTGCCCCAGTAATTAGGGGCACTTTCTACTTCTCTTTCAAATCCTTGTAGCAAACCATGCCAGGACAGGATATGCACAGAGGCATCCTATATCCTACATGAGGGCTTTAGCCATTGGGATGTGAAATTGCCAACACTTCCTCGCTGAGCTTAAAGTGAAAAATGGACTGACCTGTCTTGAAGCCTTACCGCCAGAAGAGATTTAATGGTTATGAATTACAAGAACACAAGATGCACACAAGTAGAAAAAGAGGCATCTTCCACAGGTCAGGTTCACCCACTTCCACCAATCAGTATACAGAATAGGCTGGTTTTGGTGCCTTGCCACTGAACCCCCTGACTTCTGTGTCTTCTCAAGCTCATACATCTTCCCTACATTGAATACAGTGGCATTTCTCAGCCTTTTCACTAGAACAAAATATGTATCTTATCAGTTTCAAAAAGATCTCTAGAATATTTATTTGGCAAGTTGGGTGGGACAATGAATAAAGTAGATAGGTTTTAAAGAAATGAAAAAACAACTGTTTAAAAAAATAAAAATTAGTTTATTCTTATAATTGCAAACATTTTAATTAAACTATTTATAATATAAACATTCTGTTACCCTTTGGCACTCCACAATGCTAACAGGCACTGACATGTATTTGACAACTGGATGGGAATGCACGCTTGTGTTTTGTTCTGCTGTTTCAATTTGCAGCTGCTTCATGGACCAGTGAACCACAATCAAGTTAGAAGTTGCATAGAAAAGTAGGCACCTAACTCAACAATGTGCCTCTACATAGATGGCAGAACACTTAAATATGGGTATCGTAAAACTCGGTATCTAACCTCCCTGTCGTTCTACCTACAAGTAATTTGCTGAAGGGCACAGAGAAAATCGATAGTAAAGCAGGTGCTGAAACCAGGTCTTCCAAGTGCCAAGCTCATAGCCTTGAGCTGTCTTCCGTCTTACGCTGTCTGTTTGCAAGGTGACACGCATTGACCCTCCAAAATTAGGGTGCCAGCCATAGACAAAGATTTAAAACAAGAGCTATAAGATGATTTTATATCAAATTGCTTGTACATTGATCTGTCTCTGCCACACTCACATACACCTACAGTTTAGTTACTGAGTCTTCCTAGTTTTCACCTCTTCTCAGCTTTTTTCCTTTTATCTCCCACAGCTGAACAACTTCCCCATCCCATTCTGCTTCTCTAATTATGGGCTAAGAAGAAGAATCACACCTATGGTCTCCAGAAGAGAGCATAGGTGGAATTCATTTCTCTTCATCTTTTTCTGTTCTTCGAGTAACTGTTGGTGTACAAAGAATTTCTGCCTTATGATGAGGAAAAGGAAGGGAATAGCAACCTGATTCCCCAAGGTCTAAAAATGGGGGTATAAAACATTACCCTTTCCTCTCAGTTCACACTTGCAGTTTCCTCAGTCTTGTCCCTTCTCAGCATCGCAGACTGCTCAAACAAGTGTGCCCCTACACGGCACGTTATTGCTTCCTTGCCTCCAGCAGTAAGACTATGCCGCAGGCAGCTGACTGCCAGCTTGTGTGGTGACCGCATTATACGCAGTTCTCCTTTCAAAGGAAAAGTCAGACCTAGATTTCTGAGGACATGCAGGTAAACACTTGTTGGAAGCAGTTGTTGATATGTAATAAACTTACGCATTAAAGCGAGCTCGTACCACTACTCGGCAGAAATTCCTGAATCTGTGCTCACGTCCAACTATGAAAAGTGGTTTATCAAAGTATGGATGATTCTCTCGCAGCTCCTCCTCTTGGACTTTCCTTTTGAAATACAGAACATAAATTATTAAGTGATACGCATTATATCTGGCAAAAATATTCCTTATACTTTGTTCTTTTTTCATCATTACTCTCAATATTTTTTACTTCATACAGAGAATACTTAAAAGTGTGCACTCAGACTTTTGATTTTTTAAATACCTTTTCATTTCAGCTTGTTCTTTTTTTTCTTGGATCATCTTTATCTCACTGTCTTCTCTCTGAGCATTTCTGTATCTCACTGTGTTGGAGTGCTAGAAGGAAAATGATTCCTTTTAAATGAGGTCTGTGGGTTGTTGTTTTTTAATGTTTCAGATGAAAGCAAGATACGGTATTTTACATAGAAAGATTCAAATGAAAAATCTTTATTTCCAAATGCACTGCACATCAACTCGGTCAAGCATATTCTACAGTATCTATATATCTATCTATCTACAGCACAAGGCTGTGTATTTTCATCAAGGTTAATTTCAGTTTTAATTTCATGCGTGAAGTCCCATCCAATGCAACTTTTAACTTTAAAAGCAAAGGTCCTGTAAGCTCAGCCAGTCTCTCTGAACTGGAATGAATACCATCAAAGTTACCAAGGGCAAAGACTGGGAAAGAAAAGGCTTTAGACACCCTTTCAGCTCCTCAAGCCTACTGCATATGCTGCCAGGCAGCGAGCTGTGCAGAACATAAAGGGAGTGACTGCAGAGCACAGGGAGGATAAGAAGGAGGGAGGACAGTTGCCTGAGTTCATCCTGTGGAGGGTACGATCAGTATTACTACTCAGAGTTAAGTGAGTCCTTGGAGCACTCCTGAAAGTGTAATTCTGGGTGTTACCCTTACTACTGGACACAAGCAAAGCCACATCTGCTTTAAAATATTGGTTATCTACAGTTTCTTTTCACCCCCATGCAGGGTAATTCATTAATTGCTTCTTGCACAGTTGTTTTTAAGTAAGAAGCACATCTAGAAAATTACTATCATAGTTTGGAAACAGAGGGACTAATATCACCCCTTGAACTGTAATAGTCACAGAGATCCACAAAATATCATTATGAATTTGCAGAAGTAAAAATGCACATAACTGCATGAAACTATACCACAGCGAAATCTGTGATTACTATTCTCCCTTTGTCTTTGTCCTTTTGCCTCACATTTCTTGTGTTTGAAAAATATTGTTAAACTTCCATTGGAAAATTTGAAGCACTGTTTTGCCAGCCTGAGTGATTTGTGTAATTCCAGAGTAAGGCTTTTGAAGGTGTCCTGGAGAGCAATTGTTGTGTTCCTAAGGTAGTGTCTACGGCTTCAGTGAATCTATCTCAGTAAGTGTTTCAAAACCAGTAAGTCTATCAGCAAAGTGACGTTGTCAATTATTTTGATGACAGTTCTAATGCAATTACAGTATTTGTTCTATGATCTCCTTTCAAGATTTCAAAAGACAAATTGTAAACAAGATCATAGACATTAGTCTTAGACAAGCATTTATTTTATAGTACATAGTCTTATTTCTTATAAGAAATGACTATGTACTGTATAATACAGTACATAGTCTTATTTCTTTCAAATTGAAACTATAATTTCTATGAGGACTTACATCTTGAGTCAATGTTTCAAGAGATTTTCCTCTGCTGATTCGCTGGCTGTTGGAACCATGTCTCAGTGACCTGAAACAATCATAATCAATTTAATGATACATCTCAAGACGAAATTTTGACCTTTATAGGATGGCCACTAAAAGCACTGCTCTCCAGCTATCCACTATCTCAAATTCTTATCATTTTTCTCTCGCTAACATCAGAAGCTTATATGTTCTTCAATTGTTTTCAATCTGGTCTAACATAAGCCAATTTCTTTCCTTCTGATCTTTAAATTGATAGCTTTGTAGATGGCAAAGGAAATGACATTTGAAATAAAAAGGCATTTTTTCCATTTATACAGCACAATGAATTTCATTATGGTTAAAATGAAGAACGTAAAATTCAGTTCTTTGTACAAGTAAGGAATTTCAGTTTGTCACATTAGGTATTGCTCAAATTCTTTTAGTCGCCTCTATTTTAAGAATATTTTTAAACCATCCTTTGTGTCCACGTTTACCTGCGTTCTTGTCGTATATGATGCTGGACACTAAGTATTGACCTTTCCTTTGCAGGCTGCCCCTCAAAGGATCCGCTCAGCATGCGCTGTCTAGTGCAGGCCCTATGAAGAAATAAAATGATAATGACATGGAGTTTTCAGTATAAATGATAATTTCTGAGATAGCACATTCAGACAAGTCAGCCTGGCTTTCTGGGAAGCAAGGGCACAGCTTAACAGACAATAACAATAAAACAAAAAAGGACTTTCCATGAAAATATATTTTGAATGCAATGGTACTCACTCTGCAACACAACTGGTCATCTGATGAACATTCTCCATGGCTTAGCAAGGGCTATCTTTCATTTTTTTTCAGTTTGCTGTAGAATTTATGGTTCCTCAAGACTACACTAAGTGTGAAAAGGGTCAAGCAATGCACTAATCATGAGTTAAAACCAGCTTCTCAGCAATAAAGAAGGAAACAGTACAAAGTACAGTTGTAATTTTAGGGCAGCTCTTTTTCAGGGCTGTATGTGGCAAAATATTTATGTACACTCTCAAGACTTACTGTGTACCTTTGAGTGTTTTTCTACATAACTGAGACCATATATGGTTTGAAATGAAAAGCTGCACATGGCTGATATCCTGTAATATGAAATGTCTGCTCTCTGGGAATGCATTGAACTTGCAGCACTTCATTGTGTGGGTTTTTCACTTGTTTGCTCATTTGTTTCAGTTTGCTTTTGCTGAATTTTGGCAGAAACATTTTACACATTTTGGTGGAAATAAGTATTTGTTGGTTAGTAAGTGTGCTACAGCTAAACAAAGCATGCATATATTCATTTTCATGGCTACAATGAAATGGATTTGCTTAAGAAAAAGAGAAGTTTCCACTATAAGAGCTCACACAAATCCTCTGATGTCTAAGAAATGGAATTTCAACATTGGAAAAATATTTTAACTTTCCAGGAGTGCTGCAATTTTAAGTTTACACAGTGCACACCTTATTGATCATTTTGTGTCATGCAATCATTGAGAGAAACACCAGACTCAGTTGGTAATATTTTATAGTTTTTAATGGACAATCTAAATTTTTTTTTAAAAAACATGAAAAAACTTTGTACTATTGGAGTGACCACTCTATTCACCAGCCTACTGTAAATCTTAGATACATGCTATGTTTGGCAGCATGGGATGATCACGCTTGATGGCAAAAGGTGTCCCGGGCATGTTCTTTCCCCAGTGTGACTTTGTTTTTCACTCTTCTCTGCTATTTCTTCTTCTTTTGGATTTAAGCTCATCAACGATATGAGTAGGGATCCAAAGTGAGATCTGGAACAAAAAATGAGAAGCTTAGAATACTTGTCAGTATCATCACTGCCAATAGTACTAGCACGCTAGAAAATTATATTGTACTACAGTTGTTAGAGAAGGCATTACATTACACTACACTGAACTGAAGCATCATGCCGTTTAAAAAAATTGCTGTGTGTCTTATCATCTTAGCCAAATCATGAACGTTTTAAAACCAATGGATTTTAAGCATATTATGGAGGATGATACTACACAACACTGTCAAAAGATAACAGAGATATCATTTGAATACCTGTGCATTTTTCTTGTAAAAAAACCCCCCCAAAACCCACGTAAAAAATATACCCTAAAAATAGATCCTACCCAACTCCATTAAAATGAAAATCCATTTTTTCCCAGAAGAGACAATGGAAAGTTCTGGGGTCTGACTTCTGTATAGAGGGTTCTTGTGGTGACAAAGAGGCTAACTTATCTTTTTTCTCCTGTAAATATAAATTATTGTGCTCTGCTTCTAACAGCTTGAAATTATTTTCTTGCCATCAAAATGTGACTTGCACATAAACTTTTCATGTCCTTGTACACAGGTTCCTTGAATAACAAGTTACATAAACTCTTAGTGTCCATGATAAAAGAGAACATTAAATGCTCAAAAACCAAATTATTTACCTGACTAATGAACAAGATGGGTTATTTGATAATTAATGGTATAATAAAAAATACTTAGCCATGTACTATACCGAATGGGCATGCATAAAGGGTAACACCTGTAGAAAGACTGTTAGCATTGTCTGTGATCTCTGCCCAAGTTAGATTCCTAAATCCATATTTAGAATTTATATCCATTGCTTCATTTTCAATAACTCTGGGAGCCCTGCAGCTCCTGCTAAAGTCAACAGAGAAATAATGAAATTCCAGTTGTATAGCACAGAGATCAGAAATTTTTATCAAATAACTGCAAAGAAAGTTTTTGCATTTTCATAGAAAAAGATGCTGTGCTGAAAAGTGCATTCTCCACTTGACGGGAATTAGTCCCTTAATCTTCCTTGTATTAACTCTTAATAAAAGACAGGTTTTGTTATCCTTTTGACTCAGGATCTGGATATTTTTCAGCTGTTTACACACCTAGAGTTGCAGATACTTGAGGACTTTTGAAAAAGAAGGCAGATGCCATAAAGTTTTCAGAATTGGATAGTTGTCAATTTCAAAGTCTACAATAGGATTTGTTTTCATATTGTAGACACCTACACTTATGTGCTTACTCTCAGTCCCTACATGAGAGCCATGTGTCCAGGCTTCTGTCATAATCAGTGGAGATGTAGGACTAAATTAAATTTGTTGTACAGAGGTGGCCAGTGCCACTTGCCATGTGTTGGAATATTTTGCCTTGCTTCCAGCTGCCGTTCCAGCAGGGTATGCATCGCCTACAAATTCCTGTATTACCTGCCATCCTCAAGAAGCTGTTTTGGATATCCTCTGGCATCTCATATATTACAAGATGTCAATATGTTGACAACTTCACTTAACAATGATTTTTGGAAGCTACTCAAGAAAACATAAAGTGGGCATCTAAAGACAAAGCAGTCAGATAAAGATCTTACTGGACTCCACTGCCTGTATGGACTAGACCTCTGTCAACTAGAATCATAGAATCGTTTGGTTGGAAAAGACCTTTGAGATCAACGAGTCCAATCGTACCTGTCCACTACTAAACCCCATCTCTGAGCATCTCATCTACCTGTCTTTTAAATATCTCCAGGAAATGCTGGCAAAAAAGTAACCAGAGGAAAAGCTGGAGGAAAATCCCAGTTAGCAGATGTGGTTTTGTCAAAGATGTACTCAGGCCGCTGGCACTGTAAAAGCTAAGTTGAGGCACTGGGGCTGGGAGGAGCTTGCAGACAGATCTGGTAGACTGGAGGTGAATCCCACACCTAGGACAATCACTGTGCCACAGTGTTAAAAATTTAGTCCTATGTGGTTTTCAAACTGTAGTTAAAAAAACCAAAACAAACCTTTCTTGACTTGATACATCTTCATGTAAGTGTATTTGGTCAGAATCTTTTGAGCTTTCTTCAAACAACACAGGCAAAATTACCTTTTTTAAGCTAAAATTGTCCTTTCCATCTTCCTATACAACCTCTGAAATATCAGATAGGTTCATGTTCACTGTGAAGGAATGATGAAGTTATGAAACAAAGGAGAAGAGACAAGAAGTATGTCAAGCTTCTGTACTCACCTTGCAGAACTCTAAACGCAGCTGCAAGCTACATGTTCCAAATTTGCCTTGAAAGCATAAATGTAATCAAATATCCTGAAAAAGAAAATGTGATTTGATAGGTTATCAGAAAGCCAAGCTACAGGTGAAGACCATACAGAACAATACGATATTGCGATACCCCATAGATTGTATTACCTGCAAACAATTATGAGGTACAAACTTTTGAAGTCCTTCAAAATATTTCATGCTTTGGAACCCCTGAAAAATAAGTAGTGAACAGAGTGCTCAAGTAACATTCTTTAGGCTAATGTAAAATGTTAAATGCTTTGATCAATAGTTCAAAATACTATACCTTTAATAAGTATTCTGAGGTCTCTTGCTGAGGGCATGCATATGGCTTATGCCTGGACTTCTTAAGGAGGCATCCTTTCTGCAACAAGTGTTTACTCATCTTCTTGCATTCCAGTATAACACCAATTTGTTGGGTTTTTTGTATTATTTTAATGACTGAATACTTACATAGTAACTGCAGCAACTGCATATATTACTATGTACTTTTGTTCTTGTTCTCCCTGAAACATGCTCACACTGAAGTCTTAGGAGTGTGGTGCACTTCAATAAAACACTCAGTTACCAGTCTCATTCAGCATTGCTTTCACTATGACTCTCTTATTCTTACTAAATCTTTCTACGCTCTTATTATACTTCCACCTAATTTGGAATATATGTTTAAATGTGACAACCTAAGATTCCTGGTGAATCCATCTGATAGGTGTTCCAGTGTTTCTCTTTTTCATTTTATAAATTTAATTCAAAGAGGCATTGTTCGAATATCAAGCAAAATGTGCATTTTCACTACAACTACACTACTGTTCTTTGAAAAAAAAGACACTACTTTTTAAAGAAATCTGAATTTGGCTGGTAAAATAAAATTATTATTGCAATTTGGATAATTCATGGTTTTTCTTTTCCATGTTTTTTCTTGTTTCCTTCCATATGTCTCTAAAGGAAAAAACAAATAGTCACTTATTAAGTGTCTGCTCAGATTGTTGAACTATGGCAGCATACTTTTTTTAGCTATTTTGTATTCTCACTGTCATTCTTGCCTTGATGTCTCAGCTTCTCCTCGACCAGATATATATATAATAATTATTTTCCTTGGATTATAGAAGAATTGATGCAATCAATGGAGAAGCAGGAACCACGTGGCCATCTAGTCTACCACCTCTCCAAAGCAGGATCAATGATATCTACAGTATTATGGGCTGATGTTTGTCTAATGTCCTTTTCGACACCTGTCATGTTGGAGACTCCACAGCCCATTAACTCTACTGCACAACAATGCTTTAGAGTGATCTATTACATGGTGGTCCCTTGGCATAAAACCCATAAAACAGAGGAACTTCTTACTAATGGATATGTGCATTCCAGTATTTCTTTCTGCCTCTATTTGCAGGAGATAGGTGAAATCCAATGTTGTCATATGCTTGTGGAGATTTAAGAAGGTGGTGACTAAGTCTGGATTTTGCTCCTGATGATAAAAATCATCAACTGAGTTTACCTAGAACATTTGTTCTGAGAAATGCATGGTATCAAAGCCTGGCACCTCATAAACTGAGCTTACCTTTAACATTTGTTCTGAGAAATGTGTGATATCAAAGCCTCAAACTATGAAGAAAGAAATCATACTCTCAAGAGAGAAAACATAAAATAGAGAAACTTGTTGTAAGTGATTTAGAACTGACTAAGAGAAGTCAGTTGTTTAACGTAGACAAATTTCTAATAAAGAATAGCACAAGTATGCCTTCTATGATCATAGAATCATTCAGGTTGAAAAAGACCTTGAAAAAGATCATCAAGTCCAACCATAAACCTAACACTGCCAAGTCCACCACTAAACCATGTCACTAAGCACCTCATCTACATGTCTTTTAAAAATCTTCAGGGATGGTGACTCAACCTCTTCCCTGGGCAGCCTGTTCCATTGCTTGACAACCCTTTCGGTGGAGAATTTTCCCCTAATAACCAATCTAAATCTCCAGAGAGAATTTGTTCAGAGATTAACTTTATAACTTTCCTAGAAGCACAGAGAATCTCGTTTCTTGCTCATTTTAATATTCAGAAAAAACCCCACTGTATTTTGCAGAAATACTTGTATGAACATAGTCTGAATTGTCTTCTAGCATAATAGTAAATTAGTAGAACCAGATACTTAATTCAAGCATTCAAGCAATTTCCCAACACCCTGCCAACCCCGCCACCAAGATGCACTCATGGCAGACTCAGTTTCAAACATAAGATAAATCCACTTCACTCAATTAGCTGTTTACGAAATGGAAAGTTCCACTTAAGCATGAGCTATGTTATTCCCTCACACCTAGTAAATGCATCAGATAAATCTTGACTAGAACCGTAAAAATCCTACTGTGTACCCTTAGAATCAGTTTACAATTTGACTTCAGCATCAGCTCTAATGAAAAGCAAATAAAAAACTTCCCATTTAAAAAATGTTACTTTCCCAAACTGTTACAGTATATATTTTATAATAATTTTTGTGATTTTGATTTTCTTATCAACAGACCAGAGAACTTTTAAGTTATTCCTTATATTTTATAAAATAAGGGCATAAACCCTTACGTGAGGGTGACCAAGCACTGATGAGACTAAAGTGGGAAACACTGAAGATATTCAGGAGGATTGAAATTTGCTAGAAGTGGTTATTGCTGCTGAGGGAAATGCATCATTATTTTCAGAAAGAAAGAGAGTTGTTTGTAATGCAGAGGCAATACCAAATGTGATTGTGTTTTGAAAATGATGTTCTAACTGACTGTAATTCAGTTTTATCTTTTTTCATTTTCCTTGAAAGGGTGAAGTCTCCTCATCAGAATGGATTTATGGGAAGAGTTAAGCCTCTCTGTGCTCTGACAGTGGCAGGGGTGACGTAAATCAATGGTCAGAGTCAAATACCCAGGACAGAAGTTGTTACATCCTTGACTCTGTTCCCAGGACTAACTGCACCAAGACCTTAAGGGAGCAAGGTGAAAGTTGGTTTCCAAGCAAGGGTCTTCAGAAAATAGATAGTTCCCCTGGCATGCAGTAAGAAAGTTGCAGGGAGATGAAGAGACCACAGATCTCAGTTTTGCTCCATAACATTAGATGAGCAGGTGAGACACCTAGGATTGAATGTATGAACTGTCTCTCTGGGTGGTCAAGGACTATCTATGCCCTTCTTCTTCCTCTTGGGGAAGAAGATGTCATGCTGCAGTTCAGTATATAAAGGGAAAAACAAGGTTTGGATAGAGGTAGATGCACAAGAGAGACACAAAGGTACCTGTGTGTAATGCATATTCCTTCTATGTGGTTGGTTAGGTTGAAACATTCAGAATTTGATTAAAATACAATTTGTCAAGGTTTAAAAAGTAGAGGGAAAAGGTAAGAGGTGGACCTAAGCTACAACAGACTTAAAATTATTTTTTCAGTACAGCAGTTTGATCAAGTTGAAGTTGCCCGTGGGAAGCTTTACTATGTAAAGGTATTGCTTTAGATAAATGCTCCTTAATTCAGGTAGACAAAAATTAAAAAGATGCCAGAAGGAATCTTTTCAGAAGGGACCACCTGAGTTATCTCTCATTTTTCTTGGTATAAGCACCATTTCTTCTTTTGTCAAATACTCTGAATAGCTAAGACTCAGCTACTTCTATTGAGTAGTATACAGCATTTACAACCAAAATAAAAATAAGAAAAAGAAACTCTCATGTTCTGTGTGTTTGAGTTTTCCTGTGTTCTTTGAACTGAAGATGAAGCTTCAGCTGTAAATTTTATCCTTTCTTATAACTTCTTTCTCTGTTTGTAAAATTCCCCCACATCAACACCGGCGACACTGGCATCGACATGGAAACACTGGCAGTGCTGAGGACCAGCAGGCCCATCCCTGGCAAAGCTCTCTATCAGCATGCCCACCACATACACCATGAACACAATTTTCTTATGCTGCAACAGATGCACTGGAGATGTCACAGTTCAGAGCTTATTTAACAGTTTTGAGGCAATAACAGGGAAAAATAAACAGTATTTGTTCCTTTTTCTCAGGAGAAGAATAAGACTGCCTTTTTGTAAATGACTTACAAGCATCCCGAGAATGCATTAGAAGACATATTTTCCCATATTTTTCTTACTTGACAGAAGTTCCCTTCTTTTCTCTGTGTTCCTCAAAAGTTCAACACTGATGAACCAGGAAGTAGATGGGAAAGCACAGTAAATGTAGATTAAATTAACAAATAGATTAGATAAAAGAAATTAATAGATTAGTAAATGAAAACTTTCTTCTTCTGCCTCTGGAACTTTCTTCAGAGGAATTCAGGTGCTCTGAAAGACCAAGTGGAAGTCAGCAGGATTGAAATTGGAAGGACTGATTTCTGATTCTCTTCTGGTACCTCTGTGAATTTAGTGAAGTCCCAACAATGGTTTGCTTGGATTCTTCTCCCATTCTGCTTCAGATCTCTCCTGAAAAGGAGAAAATTCTGTGCCGATGGAAGAATCAATCAGAATTCTGAATTTCAATTTGCAGGACTTAATTTTTTCTTCTATGTAAGAAAGAATAGAGCCCCTATAGATGTCAGTTTAAAAAAAAAATAATTTTTTATTTTCTTCTTTGTCTATATGTTTCCTCTGTGGTACAGTATAAGAAACGTGCAAAACAAACTGACATTTGTGTAACCCTAGAGATTTCAATAACATTTTACAGTTGTACTATAACATGGAATTTTATTACAAATGTTTTAGTGAAACATTGCCATGTTGCTTGTATCTAAACCCATATTTTTAAAAGTGTTTTGATTAGGATGAAGAGACTTGTATTTTTCTATCTGTTACAGCAATGCCTGTAAAATCAAGGTACAGTCACATAACAAAGAAAAGCTTACAAAGAGAGCCCTAAGTTTTGTTAAAATGGAACACTTACAGTCTTGTAGTTACACTTCTCAATAATATTTTGACAAAGAACATTCATTTGAATTAGTAATTGTCCATGTTTTCATTACCATGGGTTTAAAGACAAAGTTTTGCATTAATTTCTACAGTTCTCCCTGTGCTGTATTGTTATGGAGTATTTAAAAGAACTAGAGTTGTTATATTTCTCAAATGGCATGTAATTACTAGGCACTTTTCAAGAAACTTTGTAATTCAGAAATCACACTGAATCCCTAGCGCACTGCTCCATATAAAACACTGCCCTACTTAATCTAATCCCACAGCTGTACTTCTCAGATCAGTTAATCCTGTTTCTACTGCGTATTTACCTGGGACCACTCATTCACAATATTCTGGAGATGAAGCTGCTTTGGTGAGAATGTAAATATAAGAAAAAAGAATGATCTATAAATTGTTGGCATTGCTAATGCACCTTATATGAGTGACAGTCATTCAAATGTAAAACCAACAGTGGTATGAAAAACTGCAGGATGGTGTTACCCATATGGTAATTTCAGACATGGAACTTGGAGACTTAGGCTTGCATTATTTACTTACGGTCCTTAGTACTTACTTGATATGGAATACAGAAAGGAGTGACCATTATTAAAACATTCAGGAAATTCTTCTACACAAGTCACAGTTCTGAAATCTTCTTCATTGTACATTTCCTACTTGGAATATGATTAGTCGTAGTCTACTTTTTCTAGTGTACAACCCCTGCGCATGTTTATGTGCTTATATATGCAGGAACTAGGCTGGAATTCTTTAGGCAAAATAACACTCCTTATGAAGAGACATTTTCTGGTTAATTTAGAAGGAAGAAGTGAAAAGAACAGAAACACGGTCTTTCTGCGTGACACAATTCAAATGCATGCTGAAGAACAACCTCTCTCTTGTTGCTGTTCAAGCATATAATACAGCCAGAGAAAAGAGGAATTTATCTTTCATAATGAAGGCAATAGATGTACAACAAAGGGATATACTATCATAAATATTATACATACAGTAACATGAATGAAAAACAAGGTTATGAGAAATCAGATGGCAGTCAAAACAATATAAAATCAGTGCTGACTCTTACCTTAAAATTTTATTGATTGCTGTTTCTTTTTCCAGAAGGTTTCTTGCTCTGATGCTGAAAACAGATTTACGGAGCTATAAAATTAAGAAAAAAACAAAGAGTGCACTTTTTAATTGCTGTAACACATAGCATGTGTATGTGACAGACCAATGAAACATTATGACGCTGAGTGTATGTAAAGTTAAACACATTATGTTCTCTATTATAAAGCTGTTTTTCACAGTCTGTGGCATGGGTGTCCTTTTCCAGGAAAAGGATGATGGAAAAGATCAAAATGTTTACACAGAGAAAACTCCTTGAGGAATGTCTAAGATCCTAGCCTTATCTTGCAGTTTGTGTCCTCCCTATCCCAATCTCTACCTAGCTGTGGGTAGATAGAATCAGATAGTTTTGTTGACTAGGACTAATGCTATTCCCTTTATTACCAATTTATTTTTCTCTGCAGTTGGCCAAGTCACACATTTGTCTTAATCCTTACTACTCCTACTCCATTTTGGATTTTGTAGGCTGGATCATACTCTGGAGATGCCTCGACGATATAGAATAGCCAGCTAACAAAGCTTAGACATATCTTTTCAGTGCCTAGAGCCAGGTGAGATGAACATAGGTCCTTTTTTTTCCCCCCTGATGTAGAATAAAAAAATGTGGTGAACAAAATGTGCTTGTGCATGCCTCTGTCATGAACAGCATTTAGGCATATTCTTGTGAGCAGAATTTCCTGAATATTAAATGAAAGGACTGAGATACATGAAAAAACAAGCACTTAATTACTAAGCAAGTGGTTAACAAACACGACAAATCGAGGAACAAATCACAGCTGAAGAATTTAGCTGAGGAATTGCACCTGTGATGAACAGAAAGCCTCTGGCTCCATGTAAGACTTCACTCAGTCAACCACCTAAAGATTGTTATCTTGAAGCAAATGGTTGAGAGAGATTTGGGAGCTCCTAGCAATGTGTGCCCTGTTTTTGGTCAATCTGAAATGGACTCTTTAAGAACCTGGCCTAAGTCTGACCTAAGGATGTAAGTAAGATTTCTAAACCGCTAACTCAGATCCAGTTATTCATTAAATAATTTTGCTAGAACTTCTCTCAAGACTCAGATTGGCTCTGATTCACAGGAAGATGTCTTACTTTGGAGAAAAACCTAGAAGATACCTTAAAACTTTCTAATTATACTGGCTGTCGTTAATAGAATGGCTACTTTTTCCCAATCTTTGCTTTTTCAAGTCTGGCCCCTTTAACCTTTCTGAAGTCCTAACCCATCTCTGTTGTCTTTGGAAGTAAGAACAGAGATGATTTGAAAACACTGCTAATCTTAGATTCTGTGGGTTCCTTAAAAAAGTTGCAACTTGAAAATGGAAATGAAGTATGCAACACTTCAGAATGTAGTTTGGAAAATAAGATATTGGAATTTCAGTTAAGATTAAAAAACAATAACAGAATTGTTGAACTTTTGAATATAAACCAAAAAATCATTCCATTGCCTGGATATGATTAACATCAAAATAAACTGAAAATCACAGTATGAGATATACCATTCTATTGAATACCATGTAGGGGTAAATATTTCATATATTCAAACATATTTTTGTTGGTTTTAACTCATTTGCAGTACCTCAGCACAGGTTTAGTGGATTTATCAGCATGGTACCTTATTATGGATTTAGATATAACTGACAATGGTGAAAGCAATGGCAACACTTTCACATCTTTTTTCATCTCATGTCAGTGAAATTCATGTCAGTGGAACTCCGGATAACTTGACTTTTCCCCTTATCAGGATTGTAGAAAGAAACCTCCAAACCACAGGAGTATCTATCCTTTGGCAAGGTGTTGGCTAATGATTTTTTTAGGGCTCAACAAGGAACATCAAACTTATGGGAATAAAATGAAGGTGGAAAAACAGCTGTTTCATTTCAGTTGGGTTTTTTCCCATTAAAAATAATTGCTTTAGAATAATGGCAATTATATCAAAAATCAGGGGGAAAAAGGTATGCTGCCTGCTAATGTGTTATGTCCATTTATTTCTAATAACAATTATTTGCCTGTTAACATCTTACAAATTGAAAAGATTTCAAACACAGGAAACATTAATTTCCTTCAAAATTTCCGGTTTTTGCTTATCTGATTTCAGAAAAAAGCTGCGGCAAACATTTTTTTCCTGAAATTGCCCCAGCTGGCACAGACCATTTCTTTTTGGTGTTTAAAATAGGTGTCAAAACACCTTGGCAGTAAGTGTGTGGCCCAAGCAGGAAAATTCACCCAAGTCATCAACAAGGGAATGTGCCCTGGGAAAGTGGGAATGAGGAGTCTGCTTCTTTTCAAAGACTTGACAGGAAGGCTGGGTGCTTCTACTGATACATTTAGTGCCTCCCCAAACCAAATGTTAAACCATCCAGTGCCAGCAAGGAAGAAGAACATCTCAAGAAAAGCTGCTTAGCAGGTCTAGGCCAAGGGCTACTTACATCTGGCACATTTGTCTACCAGGGACTGCTGAATCCTCCCTCTAGGCAGCAAGACTAACAAAGAGGAGGCAGTGGCAGATGTTTTGCACGAAAGCATACTGCTAAATCCCTTGCACACCTCAGCTGGAAATGGTTTGACTCCCTGCTTTTGATGTCTTCAATGAACACCCTAGCTGTCTGCTGAAGATTTGCAAGGACAGCGCTGCACTCTGGTATTTGGCCACCACACAGCCAGAGGTGCAACATCCATGGAGCCAGAGAGACAAAGAAAAGCAGTAGGAAGGAAACTATGTCTGGAGCCACTGATGAGGGAGAAAAGACTGGGTTCTAGTTCCTAATCACAAAGCTGTTCATGAATTTTATCTACTGATGATTAAACAAAAAAATGCCTAAGAAATCATGGGAATGGGGAAAGGGACCAGAACAAAGAACACATTGCATCGAATTATTTGTGCCGAGCGTGCATTTGTTTCTCCTGAGCTTTTTTTTCAGAGGGACTAGTTGTGAAACTCACACCTGAGGCAGTATGTCCTTGGGTACTGACCCTAGCTTGAGCATAGCTGATGGATTGAGGCTTAGGTGAAGTTTTGAATCATAGAATGTATTGGGTTGGAAGGGACCCTCAAAGGTCACCTAGTCCAACCCCCCTGCAGTGAGCAGGGACATCTTTACTAAAGCAGGTTGCTCAGAGACCCTTCAAGCCTGACCTTGAATATCTCCTAGGATGAAGCCTCCACTACCTGTCTGGGCAACCTGTTGCAATGATCCACCACCCTTGTACTGAAGAACTTTTTCCTAATATCCAACCTAAATCTACCCTTTTCTAGTTTAAAACCATTACCTCTCATCTTATTGCTACATGCCCTTGTGAGCAGTTCTTCCCCGGCTTTCTTACAGGCACCTGCCAGTTACGGGAAGGCTGCTATCATGTCCCCCCCAGAGCCTTCTCTTCTCCAGGCTGAACAGCCCCAACTCTCTCAACCTTTCTTCATAGGAGAGGTGCTCCAGCCCTCGGATCACTTTTGTGGCCCTCCTCTGGACCTGCTCCAACAGGTACACGTCCTTCTTGTGTTGAGGGCTCCAAAACTGGATGCAGTACTCCAGGTGAGGTCTTACCAGAGCAGAGTAGAGGGGCAGAATCACCTCCTTCGATCTGCTGGCCACACTTCTTTTGATGCAGCCTAGGATGCAGTTGGCCTTCAGGGCTGCAGATACACATCTCTTCAACATCTTTATCAGTGACATGGA